ATTTCAGCTTTTTGAAAAACTCACAAGTGCAAATTAATTCCAAATTGAACTCGAAACCGTATGATTACCTGTACTGATACCATAATAATCTGTGGAATCCCAGTGCAAAGTATGATATGAAATGGAGCTGTACGGTATATCTATTACGAATGCTCTGCCATTTAGATTATTATAATACCGTATTTAGGTTACCATGTTACAGATATTAAAATAAACGCCTCCCTCTTTTAAACGCCTCTTATCTTTTAAACGCCCCCCCTTGGACCCTTGAAATTTAATAAACGCCCCCGGCCTTTATTAGATCATTTACGGTATTCCATTGAGAGGCAATTACTAAGAGTTGTGCATTAGCCCATGTTAAATCGTGTCTTTTTTGTTGTTGCAGAATCATTACAGGCCAGCCAAGTGATCGAAAGTCAGACGGTATGTACACTTATCTGCGCAGTACAATTTTACTCCTTTCTCTCCCATAAGTCCGCAAAAGCTGATACAACTACAGAGTAGGAGAGGCAGCATGGCCGAGTGATCAGGACACTGGTCTTGTAATCCGTTGTTCCCTCCAGTCTACCATAAACTGGACTGAATTGTTGTTGGTGGTAGTTCTTAGTTCAACTTTTTGTCTACATGTAAATAGTTAAAAATAGCCAACCAGTTAGGATTGTCGTGAAATTCGTTCACCTATGAAAATATATTTTTGAAGATTTCATGCCACACTGATCGCGCAACACTAAAAGAGTGTGATGGGCAAAATCCCTTAGTGACACCAAACTCTGCATCTTACAACCACCCGGGCCCCTTTCACAAAGCAGGCACCCCCTGGCTGGCCATGCTGAGCGAAATTTAGAGGCCGGATAACGCAGGAGATCACGTCTTTTTTGGCCTGTATTTTTTTCGCTTCTCGCGTCAGCGTCTTTGAGGGACAGTATCACATTGGACTGCTCATAGCTTGCGCTTAACATCAGCAGTATCCTTGTTTTCTTGTTTTTCAGCTGGTAGCGTGTATTCAGCAAGCGAAGGTAAGGGAAAAAACTGCTATCAAAAAGAGAGTTTAAAAGATTGTTGCTAGTTAAACTGCATTAGTTACAGGAAACATGCCCAAAATGCGTGGAAAAAGAATATTACGAGCTCAAACTAAATATCGAGAGCCGTACAGTCTGCGATTTTTTTCTTGTTAGAACAAGTTGTTTGCACTTTTATCTAAGAAATCCGTGCCAAACATGGAATGCAATCCTTGCGTTGTCAGTTTTATCAATATTGTAATTCTTTCGCATCCTCCCCATCCTTCCTTAGCCTTCTTAATTAGCTCCTGTCATTTTTCAAATCCAGTTTAACCCCGCTATTTCGAACTCGCAGGAGAAACGAAAAATAATTCGAAATAGCGGGAGTTCGAAAAAGCTGATAGAAATGGCTGAAGGGCAAATCTAAGGGAAATGGTTTGCAGTACGAAATAACAGGGAATTCTAAATAACCGAGTTCGAATTAGCCAGGTCCAACTGTACTGCTCTACTAATATGTTTTTGAGCTTTCAGAAAAGATGCAAAAGGTTGTCGTCAGTGATTCTTTGAATAACAAAACTGTTGCCTTCACTCTTTTCTTTTATCGTAGTTGACGACAACTTTGACAGCGTTTCTCAAGTTGGAAGTTCGGTAAGACTCAGTTTTCTTCTGTTAA